GTTAGGGCCTGTTTGTTTCGCTTAAAAAACAGGGAAAATGAAGGAAAGTAAAGAAAAGTAAACATATTTTTCATGATTTGATGTTTTCTTGTGTTTGGTTCACTTCTTAGAAGTAAAAAGGAGATGAGTTGTCACCATATTATTGGATGATGTTTTCTTGTGTTTGGTTCACTTCTTAGAAGTAAAAAGGAGATGAGTTGTCACCATATTATTGGATGATGTAAGGACCATGAAATTTCGATAATAGTTTAAATACATTTTCTGGTATTTTAAAATATTAGATTACTATTTTCAAAAGAGTATTGTATTTTCCCGATTTTCTAGAATATACTATGATTTAAAAATCTAATTTTATATTTATTTTAATAGTTTTGTTAATTATAAATTTAATAGTTGCAGTGAATAATTTTAGGTTGTTATTTGGTCATTGATATTGTTAATGATCTTATTATTATTAATATAAACCTGAACATAGTACAAAAGTATATGAATATAAATATAAAGATATTTGGTTGTTTATAATTATTTAAAATGATTTATTAATATAATGTTATTCTGAATATCATGTAGAATATTCTCATAATCTTCTTTCCCCTTAATTTGCTCTCATTTGAATTCTTTCCCAAATCAACCGTCAATCAAATTCCCTAATCACTCCCCATCATTTGATTTCTTTCCCAAATCAACCTTCAATTAAGTGATTTTCTCTATCATCTATTATTAAATGCGTAATTCTCTCTCTCATTATCTCTTCCTCTCTCTCCATCAGATCGAACCAAAGCCACTCTTCATCTCCTCCCCTCTCAAATCGTCGACTCTGATCACCATCAACCTCCTCCTCAAGCTCCGTTCTCCCTCAGCCGCCAGCCATGGCCGCCGTCATCCGCGAGCTCCTCCTCCAAGCCCCGAGTCCTCCGTCACGCTGCTCAAAGCGTCGCCACGCTAAGCCAGCAGCCCATCGTTCCTACGCGCGCTCAGATCAGATCCCACCGTCAGCGTCGATCCGTTCGACGGACCTCGAGGCAAGATCCCGATCCTTGTTTAGTTTCGTTCCAATTTTTATATTCGTCGTAGATTATTTATGTGCAAGATCCCGATCCTTATTTAGTTTCGTTCCGATCCTTATATTTGTCATAGATTATTTATGTGCAAGATTCCGATCCTTGTTTAGTTTCGTTCCAATTTTTATATTCGTCGTAGATTATTTATGTGCAAGATCCCGCTTGCTCAGAACTATTTTTCTATAAAATATGAATTATCTGTTATGTTAATTTGTGGTAAATTATCTGTGTGGATGTGATGAATAATATTAAATAAATTTTAATTATGTGATAAATAGTATTTTCAAAATAATTATAATAGATTAAGGAATTTATTTTTATGACGAGGTTATTTAGAATAATTATAATATTTTTTGAATTTATGTTGTGTAAGGAAATTATTTAGAATGATAAATGTTTTTAGAAAAAGTTATTTTGGAAAAAGATTATTTTGTATTATGACCGTGTGATTGATAGTTGTAGCGCACGACATTTCATGTACATTGACACCGACAGTTAACACTCTTATTTATACTCATTCACTGTCACATATGCATACATGATTCATCGCTAGTCTATATAGTCATGTTCATCATATGATTTGCATAAAATAGTTGTATTTATTTATTATTTATTATTTTGTTGATAACCGTTAGTAGTTCAAGTTCTTAGTGGCCTAGCGTGTCGTGTATAGGACCTAGATACCTGTGTTTTGTTGACTTAGAAAAGCGAGAGCTAAGATGAGGAATTCTTGGTTTAGGTGATCGGATGTGATTGTTGATTATTCCAGGCTCGCACCAACGAAATTCCTGTGTAGCGTTGGGGTGGGTCTGAGGTGCAGTGATATATGATATTGTTGATTATTTCCAGGCTCGTACCAACGAAATTCCTGTGTAGCGTTGGGGTGGGTCTGAGGTGATATGATATTGTGATTATTGATTATTTCCAGGCTCGCACCAACAAAATTCCTGTGTAGCGTTGGGGTGGGTCTGAGGTGTCGTGATATGTGATTGTTGATTATTTCCAGGCTCGCACCAACGAAATTCCTGTGTAGCGTTGGGGTGGGTCTGAGGTGATGTGATATTGTGAATGTTGATTATTTCCAGGCTTGCACCAGTGAAATTCCTGTGTAGCACTGGGGTGAGTCTGAGGGGGCAGTGAACCGTTACATGTGGATGATTTGTGAACAACCGGTTATTCATGAATATGAGTTTTGACTATATGTGAGAGGTAGACCAGTGACCTGTGTAGGATGGCTAGTTGTGTTCTTTTCATACATAGATCGGGATTAATATTTAATTATTTATAATTTGAGACATATGGTATATACATGAGGGTTTCCTTGTTTGGATTATTTCGCTCGACGCACTACGTCTCTTGTTGTAGATTTTTAAATATTAATTCTATCTATTGTATGATCTTATTGCTTGGATGGTTTCTGATCGCTACCTGCATGATCTTGTTACTTGGTTGATTTTTGGATTTGTATGATTATTAGTATTCCAGTTTCACGCCTCTATTGTTATTACTATCATCACATGTTCTATTTTTATTTCTGTTATCGTATCGTTTCCGTTCTGGGTTTCGTTGTTCTATTTTCCTTGTGGGGTCGGGTCTTGCCGTGCGCCATGCACCTGACGTACACCTGTTTTCTCTGGTGTACGTCAGACTTAGATGAAGAACATGTTCAGCTGGGAGATCATTAGGAGCCAGAGGATTCTCAGCAGGAGTGCCTTGCAGACGGAGCAGAAGAAGCTGAAGCTTAGTTATTGGTCCTCCGTTTTCTTTTGTACTACCTTCCATTTCTATTTGATCAGTGTATTTTGTATCTTTTCAGTTTCAATTTGTTCAGATTTGTATAAGGGCATGTTTGACCCGAATATTATGTCTTGGATGATATTCATTTGTGATATGTATCTTTTCCATTCTGAGTTGTTCATTGTATTCTTGCTGATTGTGATCGGGGACCTGTGACTTCGTATTGTTTTTATTTCCAGACGCTTAGCGTATTAGATTGAGAAGACGGGGTCTAGCACTTATCTCTCCTCAGTCTAATACGTCGCGGGCTTGTTCACGTTCCGGTTCCCGTGTATTTTGGGAAGCGGGGCGTGACAGATGATGTGAGTGATTTTTAAAGATATTTTATTTGGAGGTTCTTTTCTTGTGTTTGGTTGGCTAAAAAAATAAGGAAAAGTGTTTTCTTGTGTTTGGTTCATTCTTAAAACTAAGAAAATAAATGAGATGAGATGAGTTGTCATTATATTATTGGATGATGTGACGCATACTATTTTCCATCAAATTCATTGTTTTTTTGGAGTAAAGTGAAGGAAAGAAGATTTAGAGGAGATGTGATGAGTTGTCACCATATTATTGGATGATATGAGTAATTTTTAAAGATGATAGAAAATGAAGGAAAATGGGGTGAGTTGAGTTGGATGAGTTGATTGATGTGACTCATTTCTTGTGTTTAGTTTATTTTTAAAAATAAAAAATGAGATGAGATGAGATGAGTTGTCACAATATTATTGGTTGATGTGGGAAATTTGTAAGGGTGAAAAGTGGGGAAAGTGAAGAAAACACAAAAAAATGGGGGAAAGTGGGGGATGGAAAGTGGGGGAAACGAAACAAACAGCCCCTTAGTGTAATGGAAATTCGTGAGGTTTTATTGTTTAAAATAACTTTGTTCTAAATAATAATATCTATTGTCCAATTAACATGATATTTTTTGTCATGATTTATTTATATCCAAGTCATATCTGTTTCCCAAATATCCGATTTGTGTCCTTGATTGTATATGTATCCGCTTTCCTAATATCCAAATCGTATATGTTTCCCTTTAATGTGGTCTGGTTATGACTTTTCATACCAAAGAATATTTGTATTTGTGTCCATATCCATGAGTATTTGTATCTATTATGTATCCATATCCATCTTTAAAAAGCAAATATGGATATGGTAGGTATCACATCCAAACTGTATCATAAACAAATGCACCCTTATGTTCTACTCTTATGCTAGTCATCATTTAGGAAATTTCAATCATATCCCAAAAATTATACACACAACAGTCAGCTAACTTACACTTAATAGAGGGACAAAGTGGGGGGGGTGGGGGGGGGGGGCAAAAAACAAAAATTATTTCAGGGGGGAGGGGCAAAAACAAAAAATTAATTCATAACCATCCCCCTTAGTTAATAATTAACAAACCATCAACTATTTCACAACCACCCTTAAATTTTAAAATCACAGGTCCTTTCTAAATTTCTCCTCTCTTGTTCTTGGCCTCTCGTTTGTATCTATTATTTATAGTCGTAGCCATGTTGATTATTAAGATGCCAACATATTTTTCCTGCAAAAATAAAAAATATATTATATCATGCACGCATGCACCAGAATACTTTGATCCTAGATAAAAGACCCAAAAGCTTTTCCGTTGACTCATAATGATCAAAGAAAATCCGCATCAAAAGCTCATAATCATTCATGCTTCAGAGGGGAGGGAGAGGGGGGTACTAGGGGCACACCCCCAACCACACCCTCTCTCTTATTTGCTACAGTGCACCGAACCCCGCATAAGATTTTAAAATGCCCCACATAGGAGTTTTAATTTTAAAATCCTATGTGAGGTCCGGTGCACTGTAGTAAATGAGAGAGAATGTATGGTTGAGATTGTGGTTAGGGGTGTGCCCCTATCATTTTCCGAGGAAAAAGGTTCATTATTGTTACCGAACTTGCAAACAATCAACACGTAACATTTCATAACTAACAGAGTCATCAACGCACAAAACATAATAGCAGTTACATCTTACCTTCAAGGACTACTCTAACCAAAAAAACTCCTTTTCATAAATTAATTTTTTTTTTACTACAGCTATAATCGCAACCCCATATATTACAAGGAACATATACGCGAGCAACCCATTCAACCAATTCTCCAAACACCCATCGAACAAGAAACCCTTCATAAAGTTTCTCGCTCAAACATTTCATCAAACGGAACATAAACAAGCACACGGTAACCCAGACCAGACCCATTTCCGACATTAACAAAGCTTCTTAAATCTTTAAACAGGTTCTACATTAAAACCCACCATCAGTTCAAATCTAAGTCAGACCCACACAACAGAATTAATAAAACGCAAAAGTAAACAAAGCAAGGGATTACAAGCTACACATAGCAATTCTAAGATCACGCAAACTACTCTTTGGATGATTTGTTGATGAGGGACTTGTGGATGTGGGGGATGACTCCTCCACCGGCAATCGTCCCCTTGATCAGCGTGTCGAGCTCCTCATCCCCTCGAATCGCCAGCTGGAGATGACGAGGGGTTATCCTCTTCACCTTCAGGTCCTTGCTGGCGTTCCCGGCGAGCTCCAGCACCTCAGCAGTCAAATACTCGAGAATCGCGGCAGAGTACACCGCCGCCGTTGCCCCAACGCGGCCGTGGGCGGCGATCCTCGACTTCAGCTGGCGGTGGATTCGACCGACGGGGAACTAGAAAAATTGCAGAAAACCCCCCCGGAAAGGGTGAAACGAGTTGCAAGTAAATTTTTTTGGGGGGTAAACCGAGAAGGGGGCGAGGGGGGAAATTTTACCTGGAGGCCAGCACGAGAAGAGCGAGAGACGGGCTTCTTCTTGTCCTTGTCCTTGTTGGCCGCCGTCGTTTTCGCAGCCAGAAGCCCCTTCCCTCCTTTACCTGCCATCTTCTTCCTGAAATTGGACCAAGAAAATCAAGCCAAACCCTAGGAATCCCAGAAATGGAAAACCCTAGATCTCGAACCTTAGCTATGAATTCGACTAGAACGGGGAGGAATTAGAGAAACCCTAGAAGCCTAGTGGAGATCTGAGGAGAAAGAGGGGGCTGACCTTTCTTTTGGTTGGAGGGAAATTGAAAATTTTCGAGGTGAGGAGAGAGAGAAAAAAGCGGCGGTTTGGGGATTATCAATAGAAGGGTGAGATTTTTGGCAGGGCGGTTACTTTTGGGGGGAGTTGATGGGAATTTTGAAATTTTTGTTGGATTTTATGAAATACCCTTGGCTTTTGTATTAATTAACTCCGCTTTGATGAAGATTCCCGTAGGGTTTTTGGGAAAATAAAAGTCAAATGACGAGGAGGCCCCTTCCTTTTTGTTAGGGCCCGAAATGAACAAAATAATTAACAAATAGTTCGATAATTGTTTGAATAACTATTCGGTCATATTAGATTCACTTGTTCATTTACCACTAAACAAATATTTTTAAGTATTTGAGTTTACTAACGAATAGAATTTAACCGGATGTATATTCGATTCGTTTGTCTATTAAATATTCGTTTAAAATTTGATCACAACTTATTATTTGTATTATTGCACATATAATGTCATAGTTTTAACTCATTTACCATTTCTACTTATGTTGTATATTATTAATTTTATGACTTAAACAATCTTAAATTTGTTTTCTAATTAAAATTTTGATTTACATATATATACACCATATATTATAAATGAATAATTTTTATTTATAAATTTTAATATTATTTAAAAATTAAATTGTTTAGCAAAATAAATATACTTTGATATTCGATAAGTATTCGTGAATATTCATGAGTATTTATCGAATACCAAGTATTCAAGTTCGAATTCGAAAAACTAGATATATGAATATTAGAGTCCGCATTTGAATTCGATAATCTAATACTATTATAAAAGTGGATTGACATGTTAAAACATTTCTTCCAAAAATGCCCTCTAAACCACATACATACATACATAAAACACATGCATCCATACATATAAACACATACATATATATACATACATTCTAATAATGTCATAACTCTCCTATTAATTGTCCACTAATATTAACTTCTAATTTTTGTAACCCCTCCACTAATCCAATATTAATGTCATCATTAGGATAAAGGTACAAATTGTCTCTAGCCTTTTCGTTCTTCACTTATAAAAAATTGAGGACATACATTTATTATTTTGAAAATTGAAAATTATTTCCACTACCGTTACACTCATTTACACCTATCAATGGTGCATGATTACAAATAAAAATTTCAGTTTAGAATTTAAAGGTCATGTGATTCCTATAAATTGACCTAATTTCCTCAGTCAAACATATCCCGCATCAAATAGAAAATAGAACTTGGAGAAAAAAGGTTGAGGAAGAGAAGAAAAGACAATCATCACAGGTTAGTAAAAAGGTAATCATAGTTTATACTATTATTATAATTTACTTATAGCTTTCAAAAATAGTGTTAGATGGTTACGTAAAAACATGTAGATAGTAAAAAGGTAACTACATGATTTTCTATTAAGATGCACTCGTGAAGGTTGATGTAGAACCCCGTAAATTTATTAATGAATATACTGAGTTATTAGTGGTAAACATTTCTTTTGCGATGAATAACCATATATATGTTAAATAAATGTGATAAATAGTGTTTGGGACCCTAGCAAGAATTTCTATGTTAGAGAAATCAAGGGGATTGATCAGCATGTGATAGAAAGCATAGCAGGCAGTTGTTCTGCTGTGCGGTCGACCGCGATGTGCGCGGCGGTCGACCGCACAGCAGTCTTCATGTTAAAGAGATTAAGCACGAATTTATAGAAGTGTTTTAAGATCTGAAAATAATTTAAAATATCGTTTATCTGAATTTAGATGTCTTATGCTTCGTTTTAAAGTTTTGTGCATGATTGAAGGTTTACATATGATTTCTTGTGCAAATAATCATGCTTGTTATGTTCTGCTGAAAATCTGCTGCACATATACTATTGAGCTAGAAATTTGAAATAACAAATGAAATCCAAATTGAACCAAACTAATGCCAATTGAAAGATATGTGAATCTAGTTTTCAAAACAGAAAACCATACCTAAAGATAGTTTTCCTAGAGAAAGATATACTCATTTTACTGATGATATATCCTGCAGAAAATCTGCTGCACATATAAAATGTTTGACTGGAAATTTGAAATATCATATGAACTCCAAACTGAGCCAAATTAGTGTCAAATGATATCTATGTGAGTCTAGTTTCCAAAACGAAAAACTATTCTTAAAAAGAGTTTGTCCAGAGAAAGATATTCTCATTTTACTAATGCTATGTTCTGCAGAAAACTGCAGATGTGCTGATTTGAGTCGACTCATCGGAGTTTTTCCTATTTCGTTTGTATTTCTGCTTGATCAACTACTATGCTTATACTTTCATACAGTGTTCATATATGATCGAGGGTTCTATTGAACTTTTGTTGAACATGAGTAGTTGCCTTGTTTATCGAGTATTAAATTGTAGTATTCATGTTTTCATCTACACATATGAGATGACTTTTCTGACACAAGCTTAGATCTGTACCGTGAGGCATGCACAAGAGTAGAATATGTATACCTTTACTTCTAGTATTCCATGGTTTATATATACAGTCCTCGTGTTGGACTATAATCCATTGAAGTCCTCGTGTTGGACTATAATCCACTAAAGTCCTCGTGTTGGACTATAATCCATTTCAGTCATCGTGTTGGACATTTACATATTTGACCACGTCTTGGACATTTGTTAAGCTATGAGTATGACACTTATCTAAATCAGGACATGACATGATTACATGAGATTTGGACATGATAGCTACCTAGGCTGTACATGACACTTATGTAATTTTGACCTTTGACACTTATTTGGTTATGACATGACACAGTATTTAAGTTTTGAGATGGGTTGTATTTCTCTTTATTATTGTTCCTGTATTAGATTTTGGGTTTGGTGTTTAGGGATTTACAATTTGAGATACAAGGTATATACATGAGGGTTTCCTTGTTTGGATTATTTCGCTCGACGTACCTATGCCCGTGTTGAAACTCCCTAAGTACTAAAGCCCATTGTTTATTTCTTCCGGATAATTGCTTATATATATATACTTTGTGATAACTGTATTTTCTTATACAACAAGCCCTCTCCCTTGGGGTTGTTTGTGATGTTGCTCGCTAGCGCTTTGACGCTCGTTGTCCCTCCCCCTTTCAGGTCACGAGCCAGGAGCCCGGAGAGTCGCAGGGTGATGGCGACACACTTTAGTGTTCCACTATCTATTCTAGCTATGTTTTATTTTGGAGCTCCACTATAGACTTTGTTTAGACAGTTGAGGACTTTATTTCTAGATGTTGTAAAGGTTGTGTGCCTTATTTACTTTACTCAGACTTGTTGTATTTGGGATGTATTAAGAACTCCAGTTTGTTCATTTCAGACATTGACTTTATATTCCTGTATGTCGGATGATGAAATACTATTTTTATCTCTATCATTTTCATCAGTTATCTCTTGTAGTATCTTTCACTTGCCTTGTACCTACACCTGTTATTGACTCACTAGAGTGATAGGTGTGGTGCATAGCAGGTTTGACATTCTTGGTTTCACCTCGGACTGCAGCCTTGTGTGAACCCAGGGGCGTCACAGTTGGTATCAGAGCTCTAGTTCCAGTATCCTTAGGATCATCCTGTGTCGAGTCGTGGAGCTAGGATAGAGTTTCCTAGGATTCATGTATAGAGTCCGTAAGGATTTCCTAGCATGAGTGAGGACGATATATGCGTATACCTCAAAATTTGAGGAATTTTTTTTTATGATAACTATTTTGCAAGTTTAAAGTATTTTGTGTGAATACTATATGTTGTGAAGATTGTATTGTGATACGCTATTTATAGAAGTTTATTTTGACTCATAAACTTTTATCTTCTTATGATCAGAGAGATGGCAGGACGTGGTAGACCTCGTACCAGGAGAGCTACCCAGGCAGAGTCACAGCAGACTCCATCAGAGCAGCAGCCAGCTCAGTCCGAGCCTGTATGGTTGAGAGGTACCAGAAGATGAGAGCACCCGAGTTTCAGGGATCACCAGACCCTCTGGCAGCCCATAAGTGGAAGGAGGATGTGAGCAACATTCTCGACATACTCAGTGTGGACTCAGTTCAAAAGCAGAGGTTGATATCCTACAGTCTGAAGGGTGATGCTGGGAGATGGTACCGACTTCAGTTCCCTCCAGAGCAGAGGATGACCCTCACATGGGAGGACTTCATATATTTCTTTGATGGGCAGTACATTTCCTCTGCAGCACGGACAGGGAAGGAGCTCGAGTTATCCCGTTTGACTTAGGGGGACATGACAGTTGTGAATTTTGAGAGCAGGTTTATGGAGTTGCTACATTTCACGGGTATGTGGCAGACAGGAGAGCGTCAGGCTCAGATGTTCTTAGCTGGGCTTCGCCCTAACCTCCGACGGTACCTCGTGTCGAGGAGATTTTATTCAGTCAGGGAGGTAGCTGAGGCTGCCACTTCTCAGGAGACTGAGACTTCTATGTTCCAGAAAGACAAGGAAGGGAAGGCCAAGACCGAACAGAGTGGGGACAAGGGCAAGAACAAGAGATCTTTTTCTGGACCTCAGCAGCAGCATCAGGGTCCTCATAAAAAGGGACCCCAACAGGATCAGAGGGCGCATCAGCAGCGCAGGTTCCAAGGGTCTCGCTTTAACTGTCGCAAGGTCGGACATAAGGCATCAGAATGCCGTAGCGCACCAGCAGGAGCCCAGCAGGGTAAGGGTCAGAACCAGCAGCAGCAGCGACAGCAAGGCAGAGGTCAGGGCCAGCAGAACAGGCTTGAGGCACCACCAGCAGCTCAGAGGACTGAGGGTCAGATTCGGGCAGTTCAGGAGATTTCTCAGGGGCAGATTATCCCATACTCTCCATCCCCATCAGCAGAGCAGTCTTCAGCCACAGGCAGGGTTTATGCGGTAGTTCCCCATGATCATGGAGCCAGTGGAGCCGTAGTGGAGGGTACGTTCTTTGTGAACTCTCTTCCCGCCCGTATTCTTTTCGATTCGGGAGCTTCGCATTCATTCATCTCGCATGCATTTATGACTAGACTCCAGCTCGTAGCGCAGCTACTAGACACCCCTCTATCTGTTTCCACCCCTTTAGGTGAGG